AAGGGTGAATGATGATGTACGGGTCAGGCGGTGCATTCCAGGAAGAGAGAGTAATCAGAACACAAACACCACACAAAATCTCACAAAGGTTGAGTTATTGACTCTAAAATCAAATAACAAAACTGACTCAACCGAGGATAAATAGAGAAAGAAATGCAAACCGACTGGTTGGGTTGCCTCCCAACAAGCGCTTCTTTCACGTCGTGAGCCGGACGATGGCTCCTAAGTTTCGGTCCATTCTAGAACCTCCTTGAAGTTGAGGTTCTCATCTATGAGGTGGAGTCTCAAGTCACAAGCAGGTGGTGTGGCAGGTGATGAAGGCTCGTGCACTTGATGCAGATGAAGTCTCCACCCTCGAGACCTCTTCTTCTCTTCTCTCGTCTCATTGCCCCAAACCAGATAAGACAGCATCGATTGGCCACCATCGCGTCCACCAAGAGGGACCGATGTCGATGTGGCCTTGGTCTGGCAAAGAGACACTGCAAATGGGTCCTTGGCAAGCAGCTCCTCGAAGTTTGGTGGGGATATTACTTGCAACTCATGGCCGGTGCAAGCCTCGTCCACCTTAACTCCGTCCTCAGCCTGGACGCCAATTGCTTCTTCAACCTCCCTTTCTTCTTCATGTGGTATCACCCATGGGAAAAGATCAAGAACTCCTCCTGCTTCACTTTCTTCATCCTCCGCAACTTCCTTCTGCACCCTTTCTCGCTCTTCTTCTTCTAGCACAGATTGGAGAGCAAGTTGCCAAGCAATTTCTTTCATGAGATTTTCTTGCATCTCCTCACTCATGCCCGCCTCTTCAAAGCTCAGTTTGGGATGTGGGAAGGTGTGGTCGGCTACGGCAGGAAATTCCTGATCATGATCATCACGAGAGCTTTTCGTGAAAACTTCTGTCTGCTCCACAATATCCTTGTAGCCTTCGTCTTCCTCCTCCTCTTCTAGTATGATAGCAGAAGGATGATCTTGAGCAGGTTGTGCATAAGCTTTCTCAAGATCCTCGAGGCTCTTCTTTATGCTCAGGAGGGTCTCCTCTGTTTCACGGTAGGAGAACCCAGTTTGGGCATTGTCTGGGATATCCATCTTTGGAAAGGATGTCTCAGGTACTCGAGCAATCTGGTCCACGAGAAGCCTCAAGTGATAGTTTGGATCTGGCTGATGGAGGAATTCTTCTTGATAAGGAGATTGTTCTTGAAATACCCAGGGGTCTGATTGTTCTTCGTAGGATGGGGGTTGGTACTGAAACCCGAATCCATAGTCTTCTCCTCCTTGATTGCTCCAGGGGGTCTCGGGGTAATACCACTCGGATGGTGGTGGATACCCCCAATGGTTGGAGAAGCCATGAGGATCCATGATTCAGATCTGCACCAACAAAAACAAAAAACACCCAAGTGAAAAGCAAGGGTGGAAAAGAAAAGAAAAAAGCTAAAGTAACAAACTTCTGCCTTTCCTAATAATCTAGAAAGTCCCCGGCAACGGCGCCAAAAACTTGACACGCCAAAACACAACACCAAACTGCGACCAAGTGTAATCGCAGTCCGGGACTGCAGTATAGTGGCACAAGTAATAAATATCGAATCCACGGGTCTCTAGAGTTACTATTACTCAGCTTCAGTTCATTATCTAGCAAACTAGATTAAGGATTGATTGATAAACTACTCTACTGACTACTCTACTAATTACAAGTTGGGAACTCACTTAGGTATGATTCCCCCTAGCTCCTCAATTAGGCCCAAGTTGCAATTACCTTTGGTTGATCTACTGTTGATTAAACTGCGGAAGATCCTAAATTAGCTTGGAATCTCTTAAGCTGACCAAGCCATCTCAGTCCAACTACCCGGCAGACGACTAGTCTTCACCGGGATAGAAAGCTGAGGCTATGAACACAGAACTCCACTACTGGCGCCGAGAACACCAGTACAAAGCAGTAAACTGGCTAACTCTCGTATAGCCAATCTCCTACTATCGAATGAAGAGGCTCTAACAACCTAATCAGATTCTATCTATCATAGGTTAAAGCATAAATCAAGAGAATTTGATCAAGATTCAATTGACTCAATAAATCATGCCTCAATCGATTATAATCAAACAATAAAGCATCCAAAACTTCATACAAGAAAGATCCTAACTCATGGAACTAGGGTTCCTCAAAACCTAAGTGAAGGGAAGTTACTCCATAGAGAAGAGAGGGACTGCAGAAATCTGATCTAGATCATCAATCTCCATCTCCAAGCTTGATTCCCGAGCTCCAATGGCAAAGAAATCCTCCAAAATAGCTCCAAGAATGTTCCCAAGTCGCTCTCTCTCTCTAGGGTTCGTCCCTTGGGTGTTTGGGATCTAAAACCCAGCTCTCCCTCTCCAAAAATCGCAAAACAGCTTTTATACCCGCTGAAACTCGCACCCCCTACTTGCACGGCCGTGCAAATTGAGGTTTTGGCCGTGAAGACCCCTTGGGAAACCCGCACGGCCGTGCAGTTTTTCACACGGCCGTGCACAATTTCCAGCATGCACTCCTAAGCTTCGTTGATCTCGTTTGAGCTCGTTTGACCTCCGATTCAGTCACCGTTTGATCCCAGACGCTCGTAGTCTCGTCCCCTTTCTTTTCATGACAAGCTTGTATGATTCTTTGTCCATAAAGTGAGGTAGAAATCCATTCTTCTTCAGGTCATGCCCGAGTTTCTTCTCCCGAATCGTCAATTGATCTCTGATTGACTTGAAACTTGCGCCTATACTTCACTTTATGTGCTTGGACCTGAAATGTGACAAAGGAACACAACCTAGCATAAAATAGGCCAAAGACACGGTAATTCAAGCTCAAACAATCAAGAAACAAAGGGGAAAACATGTGCAAATACCGAGTCATCACTCACCTACGATAGGTTGTCTCAAGCCCATCATGCCTTTGTTGCTGCTTTGAGTGCCGAAGAGGAACCCACACACTTTTTCCAAGCTGTACGTCACAAGCATTGGAGGGAGGCAATGCAAAGGGAGATCGATGCCCTCATTGCCAACGGGACATGGTCTCTTGTTCAGTTGCCGTTGCACAAGAAAGCTATCGCGTGCAAATGGGTTTTTAAAATAAAGTTTCATCCAGATGGTTCTGTGGAGCGCTACAAAGCGAGGTTGGTTGCAAAGGGGTTCACTCAGATCGAGGGTGTTGACTATCATGACACTTTCGCTCCTGTAGCCAAGTTGGTTACGGTTCGCTGCCTACTGACTGTTGCTGTCACTCGAGGTTGGCATATCCATCAATTGGATGTCAATAACGCTTTCCTCCACGGTGATCTGGATGAGGAAGTCTACATGGCTCTTCCTCAAGGTTTTGGTCTTCCCGGTGATACTCGGGTGTGTCGTTTACACAAATCTATCTATGGTTTGCGACAAGCTTCTCGTAACTGGTACCAGAAGTTTACTCGGGCACTCCTCGAGCTTAATTTTGTTCAGAGCCGTGCCGACCATGCTCTGTTCACTTATCGTCGTGGTGACATCTCCGTGGTTGCTCTTATCTACGTGGATGATGTCATCATTACTGGGAATGACATGGGTTTTATCAGTCGTGTCAAGGATTTTCTTCATGATCGGTTCACCATTAAGGACCTTGGGCAGTTAAAGTATTTTTTGGGCATTGAAGTTGCTCGCTCTCCTCGTGGTCTTGTTCTTAATCAGCGCAAGTATGTACTCGACATCCTTGCTAGTGCCGGATTTGAGGCTGCTCGACCTTGTTCTACACCTATTGAGCAGCAACATCAGTTAGGCCGACTTCCTTCTCCTCCTGCCGCTGATCCGGGTGCTTATCGTCGGCTCGTTGGACGTCTTTTATATCTCACTGTTACTAGGCCGGACATTACCTATGCTGTTAACCTTCTTAGTCAGGCCATGCAGTCACCGACTAAAGCACATGAGGATGCTGTCGTTCGTGTTCTCCGGTATTTGAAATCTGCTCCTGGTCGTGGGATATTTCTTTCTGCGTCTGCCCCTCTCCGTTTGACGGCCTTTTGCGACGCGGATTGGGGTGGCTGCCCGTTGACTCGTCGTTCCACCACAGGTTATTTTATTATGCTTGGTAATTCACCGGTCTCTTGGCGGACAAAGAAGCAGACTGTGGTGGCTCGTTCGTCGGCTGAAGCTGAGTACCGTTCCATGGCTAGCACGGTCAGTGAGATTATCTGGCTTCGCTGGCTTCTGCAGGATCTTGGAGTTTCGTCCTCTGCTCCCACGCCTCTGTTCTGTGATAATCAAGCTGCACTGCACATTGCAGCTAACCCGGTCTTCCATGAACGCACGAAGCATGTTGAGATGGACTGTCACTTTGTGCGTGAACGGGTACAGTCTCATGAGATTGCTCCTCAAAAGATTGCTACTGCGGATCAGCCAGCGGATTTGTTCACGAAGGGATTGAGTGTTGAACAGTTTCGTAATCTCTTCGTCAAGCTCGGACTTCTTGACATTCACTCCTTCGCTTGAGGGGGAGTGTTGTGATCCTTTTATACTTTCTCATTAGTATAGGGATCCTATTGTAATTTTGCCTCTCCACGTTGCTGGAAAAGGAGAAAGGCAGAACCTATATATATTGTATCGGCTGCTGGTAGAAAACCCTAAGCCAAGGGTGAACAAAACCTAGTGAATTGCTTTTGAGCGTCAAGCTCCGTGGACTAGTCTCGTTCAGTTACGAACTGGGAAACCACGTTAAATCGCGTCTTGTGTGATTGTTTCGTTTCCGCGTATTATCTTATTTTACATGTTTAGTTTGCTACTACCTGTTGTCAATCATGTTAGTAAAATATTTTCTGCAATGGAACAATTGACCAGTCTTATAGAGTGAAACGAAATTGTGAATGGTTATAGGGTGAGATGACATCAAGAACAATTTTAATCATTTGAATAATTACGTAGTTTTAAAATAATTTGATAAAATGAAACATTAAACATCATAATGGGTTATTGTTCAAAAATTACTTAACGTTATCTTTTTTAATGCACCACCTTAAATGAAATTATGGTTAGGCCAGTGTTTACAATTGATGCATCATTTCAAATACATTCTCCTCATGTCAATTCAAATCAATGTAAGAAACGAAGTAATTCATATTTTGTCAATCCAATTGTCTGCATCCATATTCTGTGGTGGTCAATCAAAACAAATAATTAGGTCAAATTATCTCATCCAGTTTTATCATCAAACTACCCCTAGCACAAAAACAGAGTACCGTGAACAAAGAATAAATATATATAGCATAACTGATTTAACAATAACAGGGTTTAGCTAATAATTTTGGCAGCTTCTGCTAAAAAACATCATTCATCCTTGTAAAGCTCCACCTTCCTCCCATTCAGCGGCTGCACGGGCCTCGCGTTCTTCCTGTAACCCTCCGCCAGCGGCTCCGTCAGAGCTTTCACCTGCTCTTTCGACACCGTCCTCGCGTCGGCGAGGACGGACCAGATCACATTCTCCGAGCACGGCGGGGCCGTGAGGGAGCCGGTGTACCTGTAGTAACTGTGCGGGCTCTTCTTCAGCATCTTGTACTCCAATTTCTTCAGGGGAACTTGCGCTTCCTCGTCGGCAGAGCACTTGTCCTTCGCCAGCTCCTCCAGCTCGTCTTTGATCTTTTTCAGGAACTTGTCTTCGTCGCCGTCTTCGTAGAGGATTGCTGCCACGGTGAAGCTGCCGTCGTCTGCCTGGTGGACCATGTGAAGCTCCAGAGGATACCTGTATTATGTAACAGAGGATTGGCTTTTTTCCAAGCTTGAGTGAGACCAGGTCTGGGCACAATATAGAAGAATGTAGGGACTCACTGTTGGCCATCAATGGTGTGCTCGGAGGGAGTATGCCAATGGAGCTGCTTCAATTTGTAGGATTTGCCGTCTATCTGCAATTCTCCAGGGGAATCGTCGAAATGAATCTGCATTTTCCCAATCACACCACAACAAATTTTAGTGATGTGTCTCGCGTGTAGAAATAAATGTTACACCACATATAAATGTTGGTACTAAACTTAGAAAGCCAGAAGCAAGTTGAATGGGACGAACCATAGGACATCAAGGAAACCTTTTCAATACCAAGTTCATTCACCAAACTCTCGTGTATATAAATTTCATTTTTTGAAATAACCAAAGCACTAGACTTTGGGATGACAACGGATTGGGTTTCAGTATCCATAATTATCCGGAGATAGTTAATCTGCTAACTTGAAGATTCGTTAGCATATACTAACTGATATCCAAAATGCATGAACTGGTATCCAAGTACTAAAGTATCTAGAGATCACAGACTAGTATTCAAGATTTGCTAAGTAATATCCACCATGAATCAACTGTTATATAAATTCACAAACTAATATCTAGACAACATAGAATAGTATCCATACAACAAATAATTAGTATCCAGATAACACATAAGAGTATTCATATTGAATACTAGTTGGTTGATTGTGGATATTAGTTGGTATTCGCTATCTGATACTAGTTTGTGATGTTTTGAATACTAGTCTGTGTTATCTAGATACTTTAGTAAAATCCACAGACTTGGATACTAGTTCATACATTTTGGATATTAGTTAGTATATACTAACAACTTATGCAGTTAGCAGAATAACTAGGCTGCAATTATCCATAGGTAATAATTCTCTTTATAACTCCAACCAATACATAAAAGTTCACACATATATTGGCATTACATAAGAAGAAAAGTACGAAAATAAGTCACTATAACGAAGAAAATTAGTTATAAATAACAAAATTTCATTCAAATATTATATATGTAGAACAACTATCAAATAAGTTAAGAAAAATAATCACCATTTGCTAAACAAAATGCATATGCATGTGTATAATCGAGTGGTTTCGGGTTGGATAGTGAACAAACCATGGCCACCCATTACCGGCAATATTCGGATTCGAGTTTATCCATACCTAGTAAAAATCTTTCGAGTTCGAATTTTATCCTACCCGATTAGGTCAAATTCGGGGCAGGTATCCACTGTTATGGATATTTTTGCCATTTCTAACTAAACTCAATTTAGTATGTTATGAATCATTAGTATTTTCATCCATTTTATATGACTTGTGTTATTGATTAACGTGACTTCTTCCATGTACACTAATTCAAGGTGGTTGTCACATCCATCAATGGCATGGCAACATATTCCTCGATCATTAAGATAATGGACGGCTTAGTAATTTTAATAACAAACTTGGTTCCTAATGTGATACACACAACTAAAAACTTATATTTAACCCAAGCCATAGAAGAAGAAAAAAAAGGGTTGATTCAAGGGCAGAGGAAGGGAGGAAGGGAAGGTAGCAATAGCAATATAGCATTACCATGATATTGTGGCCGTTATTGATAAGAATGGCCTCGACGGAATGATAATCCCCATCCAATTTCTCCAGCTTGCTGTTCTCCACGGCCTCCTTGCTCTTAATGTCGATTGGGGACTGGGATTTCCCAGATCCACATGCCTCGTACTTTGGGCTCAAACTCCCCCATTTCTCAGGCCCATTCTGCTCGCAGTAACCAAAGCTCACTGTACAAAAACAGGACAAAATTCGATCAAGCACAGCAAATCCACACAATGGCGTGAAAAGGGAATGAACCCAGAATATGTTTCTCAAACATGATTTTGTATGTAATGTACCAGAAGCAGCGTCATCGGCAGAGGAGAGACCAAGATGCAGACCAAGAATGGCTACAACGACGTACAAGGAGAAGAAGAATGGTGCTAGCGTTGGATCATGTCTGGTACCCATTTTCTCTTCTGTAACGTTTCTAATCCTTTTGTTTTCGTACAAGGGTTGAAAAAATATAAACGGGACGAGGGAAGAAGAAGGGGGTGCTAAATTTAGTTAGAAGAAACAGGGGAGATAAAAACAGGGGGTGTCTATTGTCTAAGTTTAGACCTCTGGTTGAGCTGATTAATAGTTGCTGTCTCTCTCTATGCACGCAAATAAAAATGTATGGTGCTCTCTGTTTAAGAAAGGGAAGATGTGGGAAGGGAAGCGAGGTTTCCATTGCTGCTCTGTTGAAACTAGCTAGACCAGAGGATGATGGGAGTTTGATATGGATGCGGACTAAGAGCGAAGAGAAACGGTGGAGGGCTTTTTTTGGGGGGGTTCGTAATCTAAAATGATCCTAATGAAGTACAAAGGTGACAACCAAACCAACCAGGGCAAATATTAAAAATATGTTAATAATCGAGTCGACCTCGGCGGTGGCTTGTTTACGAAAACTTTGGCTGGTGTTTCACTCGATTTTTATTATGAGTTTGGCTCATTAACTAGTTTGCGAGATCAGCTTAAACTCATGTATTATATCAATGGGTTGATAATTTTTAGTTGTACATATCATGTGATTTAATAGTAATTAGTATCTGAGCAATTTATGATACATAATTTCTCTTTTAGATTATAAATGAGACGTATTTGATCATTTACTCACATTATTAAACATCATATGTAGTGAGATATATAAGCTAACAAACTTATGATTTATCAACATGCAAATGAAAAGCTATTAATCAATTCGCTCATAAGGTTCTAGTTGAGGTCGGTTGCTGGCCACATTGTCGTGCAAGCTCGTTGCTCAAAACGAGCTAGCTCACGAGTTGAGGTTAACAAGCCACCGAGTCGAGCAAGCTCACGTAGGGATGGCAATCAAACTCATTGTCGCGGTACCCGACCACCCTGACATAGTCAACGTGAGAATTGACTGGGTATGTGGCGGGTAAGGGTAAAACCCCGTAAAATGTTTTATGGGTATGGGGCGGGTATGGGGAGGGTATGGTTTTAGCCTCTCCGCCCCATACTCATACTCATACTCTTTTTCAGATTCTTTTATATTATCCAAAGCTATCGAAATACTATTAATTATCCAAATCTTTCATAATGCATCAAAATATTAGTCATTTTTACGTTATCATTAATAATTTTTTAACTCTTTTCTTAGTTAAAATATTCAAATATTCAAATGTTGACCTTCATGAGTCTCTTCCAAGTCAGTATCATGTTTCCAAATCAATATTACTAACAAAATTGCTAACTGGAAGTTAACATTTGGCTAATTCTTAGTATTTCGATAGGTTTGGATAATATAAAAGAATATGAAAAGGTTTGGATAAAAAATTGACATTACCCAAAAAAAAATGGATCAAATTGTAACCTATCAATAATATTGAGGGTAAGTCAGAAAAATAAATAGTAGAAATGCAATTGAGTGCCACACAAATCAAAACCTAATTCATTTTCCTCAAATCTCTCTTCACTCTTTCACTTTTACATGTTATTTGAAAAAATACACGTAAATTTGTGGTAATAAAATGAACGGGAAAACACTTTATGAGTGAAAATTTGTGGTAATAAAATGAGTAATTGAGTCTGACAAGTTGAAAGATCGACTCTAACTTGTTGAAGAAAAGGCAAAATATGAGAAATATGTATAGATACTAGGTAAAATATCTCGGGTATCATTTAAGTTTGAGAATTGGGGTAGACATACCATTTAAGTTTGAATAAGGTGTCGGGAACCATTAAAGTCACCAAAAGGTGCATCCGTCTAGTTTTCTATCCAACCCAAACATGTAATTACTTTTTTCGTACCCAAATTTTTTAATTCATCCACAACTATATTTCAACAAGTATCATCTAATATAAAAATTAGAAAACCTTCTAAGAATAGTATTATTAGAATGGCTATTGAAATTTTTTCAATAAAGTAGATAAATTAGTAAAAATAATAAACTAATACCAAGAAGGTATAATAAATATAGTAGAAGAGAATAATAAATATTTAAAATGAATATTAAAAGATCTATTTAAACCCTAATTCAATTAGAAGCACCACAAAAAAAAAGAAAACTTTAAAATAGAACCTAATCGGCTATCGATGCAAGACCAAAGAAGGATATATGGAACACAATAAAAAAGGATTAAATATATTCCAGTAATTGGAAAAAAATAGAACGAAAATAGACGGAAAATAACCAAGCAATAAGTAAACTATAAAAGCTATAAAATTCAGTAATAATATTAGACAATTACAAGGAGATTTAACATGGAAAATTATACAACATCAGCATGATGTAAGGGAATTAAATTTTACATCTTCAGATTATTTATATTGAGACAAAATTTATAGGATATATTTGCTTCAGGAAATAATTCAATTATTAGCACACATAATGATAAAAGAAAATATTTATAATGATAATTGATTCTAAATTTTCTATTCAAAAATTGATTTGGTATCATAGTCTTCAAAAGAGTATTCCAACTATACAAAAAAAAATGATGTTTTTCATTAGTCCAAAAGATATTTTAGAATAAGAAAAGTAAAAGGTCCAATTCTGAAATTTAGAAAACGGAATATTCTGTCAACTTTAACAAGTTGCACTTGGATGTAAACTTAAGTTGTACTGGATGCACATATAATAGAGTTCAGTGGCACGCTATGCCCTATTCTTACTTAAGTCGTATAGCTCCCACAATTCTCATACTTTAGTGGTACCCGATGTATTTTACCCTATAGAAACTATAAGAAATTAAGATAAAATCAGCCAAGAACGGGGCAAGATGAGGCAAAGTTGGTCGGAAGTAGATACACATGCCGCCCCACGCTACTGCGGGTAGGATAATACTCGTCTCATCGCGGGTCTGGTAATACGCGCGGGCCGGGTTCAAATTGCCATCACTGCCCGCATGGGTATCGGGCGGGTATGGGTTTGGATATTTGAAAGGAGGGATGGGGATGGTTTAGACAACCCTCCCCCCAAACCCGCTTCATTGTCATCCTTGAGCACACGAGCCTTGCGAGCCAAACAAAACTTAACTCAAGCTTTACTAATCAGTAAACGAGGTAAATGTCGAACGGATTTTTCCCAAACCCAACACCAAACTGCTCATGAACATATTGACTCATTTGTCGCCCTAATCTATAATGAGATTTTGTTTAGTGAACTTATGAATGAACTACTTTGGTCCATGCTCAGATTTGCATGTCCATTTTGTAGATACTATTAAATTGACTTGAGTAGAGTAGAGTGAGAGCGGAGTATGCAATGATTAATGATAGGCGCCAACTCCAAGTACTAGCTGCTTTCTCCGTCTTGGCCTGTCGCTAATTCTTTAACACATGAAAGCTGGGTACACTTTTTCACCCAAATTTGCTACTACTGTTTCATTCCTTGGTGTTTGGTGGAAGCCGATTGGAGGAGCTTCCTCAACTGACTTCCTGCTGGCCCAATAGAAGAACTACCTCAACTCACTTCCTTCCACAACCTATTTTTTCTGTACCTAACGCTTCCCTGCCTTTTGTTCAAGCTTGCCCTACAATTCGCAGCGACACATCTCGCCCATACCTCGCTACAGTGGACTGTACCACTCTCTCGCTACTTTCCCCCCCAAATCAAGCATTTGCCGAATAGTCTTCTAATCGTGTCCGTCTTCTCGCCGCCCCGTTATGCTTTTCCATATTTTCCGCTGCTCCGTAGATCGCCAGTCCCTGACACAGCCTTCTCCCACACTCTTCCATCTCCAATCATATCTCTCCTCATTTTCTTTCAGCTAATATTATCTTTCTATCTCTTTGCACCATTCGATAAGTCAACCTTTCATCCATATCTCGATTTTCTTAGACTTCCTCTCTCTTTCGACTCCAAAGGAAGAGTCAGAAATCGATGCAGCGGCGGGGAGGACCAGTTGCAACCGGACTCCCTTTTATCTCTCCGAACTTCAGATCAACGTCTTGCCACCGTAGGAAGAGGATCATTTTATCTCTCCGACCTTCAAATCCACATGGGGTCCCTTTTATCTTTGTTTGCATATTGTAGAATCATTGTCGCCGTATGAAAATGCACGAGAAGACTGTTGCGGATCGAGCCGGATGATGTCCTCGCCATCGACTGATGGAAGAGGGGAAGCCAAGATTTCATTGGAAGAAGGAGGGAAAGTAGACCAAGTGACTTTTAGGTTCGGAATTGGGAGTGTGGGTTTCAGGATAGGAATGAAAGAACCAAGTGTGGGTTTGTTCGGGTTAGTTATCCGCGTTCTTTCGCTTCTTCTTCCTTCTAATCTTCTATTTTCTTTCCTTTATTTAATCTCCTAACCGAACATATTTCCTATGGGCAAGGTCGAGAAGGCGATGGAGGCGCCTGTGCTGATTCCAGTGTTGGAGAAGGAGTCTCCAAGAAGGTCAGCGTGGGGATCAACCGATCGGGCAAGGTGGAGACTGACGGACTGCTTCTCCTCTTTTTTTTCTTCTTCCTTCCTGTGTGGTTTCCCCCTTCCCTCTCAGCGATTTCTCATTTCTTTTCCTTGACGACAGTGATGATGATGATGAAGAATGCGAGATTCAGAACTTAGACAAGGCCAGAGGTCGAGAGGACGAGGATGCGGAACAGGATAACGGCGACGACGTCTTAACCCTAACTGCTGCAGAAGTCGTGTCAGTTGACTATTGAGCCCCCTTATACTGTGCACTGGTTGGTGCTTCTCTCATAAGGGGAATCCACTAGGTTTGATTCCCCTATCATCCATTTTTTGTGCAGGATGCTTATCTACTTTGGAAGTCTAGGAAAGTTGCACTTGATATATATGTGTTGAGTTTTCATAAAGTATGCTGCCTTCGCATTAGTAACATTATCATCTCCATATCATCAGTGATGTGTCTCAAATTCCTCAGTTGCTGAATAGATCCATTGCAAGGTCCTGCTCATGCTTTGAGCTTGAGAATGTTTTTGTGCCCCAGAATTATGATACTGGGTTTGAATCTGTGTTAGAAACACATGTTTTTTTCTATTAAAATGCCATATTCTTTATTCTTAA